AGTATTCCCCCACGTTTAATTAATCTTGTTGCATCTAAACGTACTATCTTGGTACGTTTTAGGGAAGGTACGCTTATCCACCGACAATATTTGCAACTGCTGAACACCACAGGTCGCGTCTAAAGCACGATGCTACCAGTGTGTGGCTGGAGGACGTCTCAGCGAGTTCCTTTAAGATTTGCCTCCGGGAACTTCAAAACTTTGCAGGGGTTCATGACGACATCTCAGTGGTAAGCGATTTTTAATCTTTTATATAATGCTTCTAACACTGCAATGTTTGAAACATTGGCACTTGACCCGGAAAACTGATGACATTTTTGGGAGAACGTTTCAATCAAGATTGACTTGGTTATGTTACCGGCATTATTAACAAAAGTAACATCTAGTATTATACAGATGCGCTGCTATTAATAGTCAATACACATTTTTGGTACTCTTCAGTGGCATACTAGAAAAGTTTGGAAAAGGTATTTTATCACGCTCCAAGTCAGTGGAATGATATCACGGCAATGTTTGTGATTGGGTACGGTAAAACGATAGAGCGGAGTTGAGCGATATAACGGGGTCAGGTAGAATCTAAAATTTGTTAGGTGTCCAGCGATAAAGTTTAGGGTTGTTAACTTAACATTCTATCCAGATGCGTCTACCGTTTTATTAACATTCGTCACTTGTCGCAATAAAGTACATTTGTCATCATTAAATAGACTAGTTTAATTTCCGTAACATACATTAATTTGATGTTGTTATAGAACTGGCTGGCGTTCGAGGACCTCCACAGACCACTCTTTTCTGAACACGATGATGTAAGGTTTGAAAATAACGCTTTGCCTTCAGAGAATCATAACTTTGCGTTTTGTCAGGTAAGCAGTACTTTGATAGTGGGTTTCCCTATTCCTTCTGAGATTGTTTCTTTGTGTCGTTTTGCGTGAGTTGGACTTTATAGCTGCTATTTTAATATATAGGAGATAGACTTACAAAAACTCCTTAAGCGTGTTTTAAACCTTTCATAGAAATGCTCAATTTCTTTTACATTCCTTCACAAAACAGGAATAAAACATGAACTATTTACCACAAGTAGCTGCTTCAGTTGTAGTCCATGCCCAACAGCTACTGGTATTAGTGTGCATACTTCTAGAAACCATTCACATGGACATCAGCTATTACAGACGATGGATGTAAAAAAACAAACAAACAAACAAAAAAACAAAAAAGCAAAACAAAACAAAAAACAAAACAAAAAACAACAACAGCAGCCGCAACAACAACAACAACAACAACAACAACAACAAACGTAAGACACGCCATCCATTGCAAAAATTGGCGTATGTGACCATGCACAAATCATGACTGGTCCATTGACCAATAAAACAAAAAAGTTCAGTTTTAACAATAATTGAGAAGGTCGGAAAAATGTGAAATGTTACTAATTTAACGCTACCCTTTTTCATCTATTATCTACTTTTCCCAACCTTCTGATGCAAACGCGAGTCTTGACTGTTGCATTTGCATTTTTTTCTTGTGGTCACAGGCGGCCCAAGCTCACAATGCGAAGAGTTATCTTTATATGCGAACGTTCAGCGAAACGTGACAAGATTATGACATATACGGCATATACTATCACATAACGACCGAATTTGACTACGCGAAACGTGAGTTTCGCCGTGCAGCATACGGAGGTATTGTGTTACAACGGTTTGAATTTATAAAGGTTTGTATGGGAACGCAACGGTTTTGCT